ATAGAGATGTAAGTCCAGGCTCGGTGGCTCACACCTGTAATCCCAGCATGTTGGGAGGCCAAGGCAGGCAGGTCACCTGAAGTTGGGAGTTTGACACCAGCCTGACCAACATGGAGAAACCCCATTTCTAAAAAAAAAAAAAAAAAAGTAGAGGTATAAGAGATAATGAAGGAATGTCAACTAAAAAGTGAAGGACTGGACAGCAGCTTCCTGTAGCAGGTGATCAGTGATGATCTGGGGCCAGTGGTGTGGGGATAAGAAGAATTTATGAAGATACTTGTAGGTAAAGAAAGTCATATTTATTATAGCATGTATGAAAATATGTTGCAACAGACAGGCCAGCAAGGGAGGAGCTGACTGCAAGGAGATGAAGGCTCGCTGGGGATGTTACAGAATGGTGCTTGTGCTGTGTGCTGAAGAGGGCTTTGTGCACTACTGATAATACCATGGTTGCCATGAATTAGCTTGCATTTTTTTTTTATCACCCAAGGGTCTGGTGATAGCCGGATGCAGGAAGATTGTTAGTAATTTGTGCAAGAGGGCTATGTTCTAGATCATGAAGAAAGGCAGACTTAAAGCTTATCTGCTTTCTTTTTTTGCTTTCCCTCTGTCCCACCGTCCTGACTCCTTTTTGCTAATTAGAACTCCATACTTTTTAAAAATGGTGTATGTATTTTCCATTTTCCCAGTTTCAATTACTTTCCATGGGATCTTATACTTCTGAATTCACTCTATTCATTTTGTTACCTAACTGATTCCTATAGGCATCTCTCCCTTATCCTAGAGCAGCAAGTATCCCTTCCTGGCCCTCTTTGTAGATGCAGGCCCTATCACAGTTCTCAGATCTTCCCAGAGATTATATATAAACCATGCATAATTTAGGAGAAAAGTAAATCTTTTTATTCTCTCTCTTAGGGATAGTCAGTGGTTGATTTAAAATGGAAAGGATAGATTTAAATGCTTATGTACAGTTGAAATGTCAAACTTTTTTTGGCATTTAGAGATATTATCTGAAACAGCATTTTACAAATAAGGAAACCAAGGCTCAGAGACTTCTGGTAATCTGTTCAAGGTCACATGGTTATCCAAGCCTCTTTGCTCCAGAGGACATATTTTTGTGCTTTCAAAAAAAGAAAGAAAAATCAAGATGTCATACAGATTCTTAATAAAAATTAATGTCACAGAAAAATGTTTTCTCTAGGCTTCACAAAGATTAAAGAGGCTTGTGGTTTTTTTTTTCCTTTTAGATTTGGCTAGATGTCTTTCTTGTTTTACTGGCAAATTAGAAGAAAGCTGGAAAAGCTCTGGGACAGCTGCTAAAATAATTACCTTACAGCATATTTCATTTTTTAATAGTTAAGAAAAGTTGTTTCCCAACCTCGAAGTAATAATTAAACACAGATAAATTTTTTTTGATTTGTGTTTTGGCCTTATCTACAACTAAAGCTTCAGTACCAAGCGAGAAATGTTTAAATATTTATGTTACAATAAAACTTAAATAAAATCTTAAATTATCATCTTTACTGCTGTACCAGATTAGAGTACGCAATCACTAAAACAGAGTGATTTAGGATTAATCATGAAATATTCATTGTTCACCTTTGCATTAAGCCAAAAATTTGTGTTGTGGCTTTATGTCTCATTACCTTATTGTACTTTGGAATGTGAGGGTGAAGCTGTCCCTCAGACCATTTAGAATAAAGAAGACTGTGAGGCAATATCTCACTATAGGCATTGCAATGTCTATAGCTAAACCTAAGAACAGCATACTTGACTCATTTTATTTATTTATTTATTTACTTATTTATTTATTTTTCAGGCAGAGTCATGCTCCGTTGCCCAGGCTGCAGTGCAGTGACATGATCTCTGCTCAACGCAACCTCCACCTCTCGGGTTCAAGCAATTCTCCTGCCTCAGCCTACAGAGTTGCTGGGACTACAGGCATGTGCCACTATGCCCTGCTAATTCTTGTATTTTTAGTAGAGATGGGATTTCACCACATTAGCCAGGCTGGTCTTGAGTGCCTGACCTCAAATGATCCATCCGCCTCAGCCTCCCAAAGTGCTGGGATTACAGGCGTGAGCCACCGTGCCCGGCCTTGGCTCATTTTTATTCCTCTGATTTTAGACTTCCAACTGAGCTTTTATAATCACTCATAAAAGTCCCAACTGGCACAGATGAGGCATGAGCATTAGGCAGAGGCCACATCCTGGTAGCGTGTGTGCCAGGTCCATCCTGCAGATGTGGCTTTTAAATGTGCTACATTTTGTTTGTTTGAAGAAACTGTTTCTCTGAATTTTGTAGACAACATTTTGCAACTTGGAGAATTCACACAAACATGTAAATTTCCTGCTTCTTTTGAACAATCTGACCATTTGTCCACACTAGGCACACAATCCTGTTGAATAGATGCTGCAACATTTAACATGGCACATGGTTCACCTTTTGCGATGTGTATACGGTTGCCTCAGTCAAATGTGGCTCCTGACGTATTGTACTTTCGAAAAAAGAAAGAAAAACCAGGATATCATATAGAATCTTAAAAATAAATTAATGCCACAGAAAAATGATTTCCTTAGGCCTCTAGATGTTTAAGATGTTTGTGACACGGCACACTGTATACTGTCTTTTCCAAATGCTAAGTCTTTAAAGTGGTTCGTTGCCTTAACATGCAGACAATACACTTCTTCTACTTGTTTTGTCAGGTTCAAAGCCACTTTGGATAATGTCTCTGTTGAGCTGCTTTTAGAAGTTTTGACCCTCATTTGACCAGTCTCAGTGGAGCAAATCTTTGTTCTTGAATCTGGTTTTTGGAAAGAGTCAAAGGAAAATTTGGAACCAAGTTTGGGGCAGAAAAATATGTGTGACTACGAAATAGTGAAAACCTGTTTCTCTTGAGTGGTTTGTGAGCTGGCTCAAAGGTAACTTTTTTAAAAAAGTTCAGTGCTTTGAGGGAAGGCTTTTTACTTCTTCCAGATGTCAACTGCCCTTTCTACTAAGCTCTCATAATACTGAAGCAGCCTTATTGTCTGGGGTACACCCAAGGTTCTTGGTCTCACGATCACAGAGATCAAACATGTGGACACACACAAAGGGTGAGGTTTAGAGCAGAATTTTTAATAGGCAAAAGAAAGAGAATAGCTTTCTGCTACCGAGAGGGGTCCCGGAAAAAGGGGTTACTGATCCATAGTGAAATATAAGGGTTTTTATAGATGAGCAGTGGGGAGGCAGTGTCTGATCTACATCAGGAGTGAAAAACCGATTAGGACCAGGTGTGCCATCTGCACACGGCACAAAAAACCCGTTAGGATCAGGTGTGTGATCTACATAGGGCTCAAATCTCTGGCAGCCCCTGCCCCAATCTTCTACTATATAGGCGGGTAGCTACTCCATGTTGCCTATTTCTGTCTTACTGTGCATGTACTAAAAAAGAGAGGAGGTGGACTCCCCATGGTGGACAGGCCTGGCCCAGGTAGCCCCTTCTATCTGTGCCACATCCCCGAGCAAGCTTCCAGCTTCCTCACCTATGTGTGCAGCCCAATCTTCCAGGCTGGCCTTTGTTAGAAAGGAAGTGATTTCCTGGGATGCTTTTAGTTAGAAGGGAAGTTCTGCCGAGGACTCTTCTGTCCTCATTATCTGCCTAAATAATGTCTATCTCCTGTATGAATATCCTATGTGCGACTTTATTGTGCATATATGCCTTAGGTTTTAATTGTTTTTTATTTACAAGTTGGTCCTCCCCTCCCTCCCCCCTGCTTTAACCACACTTGAGGAAAGATACATTTTAACTCATTTTTTATATGGTATGTACAGTTGGAGGCCAAAAGCTTGAGTTGAAGGATTCATTACTTAATGAATGAATGGATGGGTGGATGGATGAGTCAGTATAAATGAAGAGCATCCCAAGTTGACTATTTTAAAGAGGGATAACATGTATTTTATATTTGTTAAACATTCATCCTCATTTGTAAATATTTGTATATATTCATGCAGTCTAAATGTATTGAAAACTAATTGTTTTCCTTGGTCCCTGAAGTCAGTCCTGGGTATTGCAAAGTAGTTCAAAGTCACTGGTTTCCCTCTGTCTCACTTCACTACACACTGGTGATTTTGCTAACTGATGAGCCAGCAAATGTAAAAGTTCCAGAATCAAAGGTAAACAAACGCCTCAAGAATCATAGCTTGTTAATATCCTAGTTCAAAAATAAGGCTTATCGGAGTATTTCAGATTGCATGAAGACTTTTGATATTGCGGAGTATCACTGTCAACCTCAGAAAAGGGCAACACCAACTCTTGAAACTTCCAATAAAGCCTAGAAGAATTAAATATACATAAAACCAATGGCGACAAGACTCCAGAAACCACATAAAACCGTGGAAAACGAACTATTTCTTATATGTGTGTATAGTATACGTAAACCTACGTGTTTTAACGTGGACGATTTCTCTCTCAGTGTAGCTTAGGTAGTGGTGGGGGTCAGGGCTCGGAGCCGAAGATGCGGAAAGTCGCCTTCCTCCATGGTTTACTTGCTTTTCCATCCAGAGACTCACAGGTTGCCCCCAAGACTCCACTCTCCCGCCTTTGAGAAGCCGGAGAAGCATCGGCTGCTGCATCCTTCTCCTCCTCCCCGCTTCTATTTTGGGGCCCCATGATCTCATGCCCTCTGCAGACCACACGCTGCAATTTCAGTACGGGCCGCGCCGCGAGGCCACGCAGGGCGATTCCTTCAAGTGTCGGGAGGGTGGCCGGGGTGCGGGGAAGGGACGGCTCGGAGGGGAGAAGTTCAAGACACGCCCACGTAAGGGACCCAAAATAACCGACACGCAGAGTGCCCGAAATCAGACAGGAAGCCCAGTAATCCGGGGCGTTGAGTCGCTGTTCCCTGACAGCGAGCGCCAGGCGTAGGGCGGGGAGCCAAGGGTCCGACCGCGAGGGGCGGGCGCGGCGGGCGGGGCGGGGCGGGGCGCGAGGCGCGGGCCTATTAAAGGCGCGGCCGGGCGGCGGGGCCGGAGCGCCCGGGGCCACGATGGAGCGCGACGGCTGCGCGGGAGGTGGGAGCCGCGGTGGCGAGGGCAGGCGCGCTCCCTGGGAGGGCCCCGCGGGGAACGGCCGCGATCCGGGCCGCAGCGACGCCGCCGAGGCGCCCAGGGACCCGCAAGCGGCCGCGTCCTTGCTGGCCCCCATGGACGTGGGGGAGGAGCCGCTGGAGAAGGCGGTGCGCGCCCGCACGGCCAAGGACCCCAACACCTATAAAGTGCTCTCGCTGGTAGGTGCGCGGCCAGGCCCGGGCGCCCGGGAGGGCTGGAAGGACGGAGAGGGCGGCGCCGAGCTCCTACGCCCTCGGCGCGGTCAGCCCGGGGCCCCGGAGGGAGGCGTGGTCCGGGAGCGCCTCTTCGCCCGTGCGCTCTCCTCCGCAGCTTTTGCAAGTGCCCTACCCCGCCGCCCCTGCCTGGTACCCTGGTAGGGCAGGATGGTTCACTCTCACTTGAATAGCGGATGCCTGTGAAAGCTCGCTGTTCAAAATGCTCATCCTTAGAAATACTAGCCCCCCTGCCCCAGGAGAGTAGGAGTTTTTAAGAGGAGAAAAATGACAAACGCAAAAAGTTGTTGGGCTTAAGAAGGTGCATCGATGTGTTGCTTCTTTTGGGGGGGCTCTGAGTGCAGTATGCATGATTTTACTTGGGTTAACTGGTTCCAGTTGAAGAGTTAGCAGTGCTCTTTAAGTTTTATTAGGAATAGGGAACACTTTTTCCCTTTGGCTCCGTTTTGGAATTTTCTTGCAGCTGCTCAGAAATTCCATGGATATTCAAGTTATGTGGCTGAAGAAACCTTTATGATTCTTTGCCCTCTCTCCTAACCGTAGGTCACACGGTTTGTGTTGCTAACAAAAGCTACCAATTACTCCTCTGCTATTTTGCTATGGCAGTTAGTTGCAGGACCCACAGTCAACTTGATGAAATGTGGGGATTGGTTTTTATCGTTAATTCATGGTGGAAAGTGTTGACTGAGAGAAGGCCTGAATTCCTGGCTGTTATTGATTGCTAAGGCCTTGCATAACTCCCCGTGTTAAAACGGACGCTTTGAATGAAGAGACACCCCCCCCACAACGGGCTTCGTGTAAGCAACATGGCTGTTTATTCACCTGGGTGCAGGTGGGCTAATGTTGAAGGTCTGTGGGATAGGAGTTGGTTTTATAGGTTGGGGCAAATTTTTGGGGGAGGGGTAGGGGTGTTACAGAGTAAGATTAGTTACAGTGATGGGGGTAGGGGCAAGGAGTATCATTACCATAAGTTCAGTTACAGTGGCTGGTGGGGTAAGGCGGAAGAGTAGTTAAGATGGCGGGGTGGGGTGAGGAGTATTCACATTATCATAATACCAGTTAAAATGGCAGGGTGGGTTGATGTTGGGTTGGGGAGAAGCTCCACTGGGTGATCAGGGAGGATGGAGAACGCTGGCAGTGGGTGGGAGTGATTAGCCGAGCCAGGCAGGGCTTTAGATTTTTTGGGTCCGGGCTTGCAATGGAGGCCTAACACTTGCCAAACCTCATTTTTTTCTCTCTTAAAATGGGAACATCAACTCCCTTGTGCATTGCATGGGATTATTGTGAAAATCAAGCTGCAAAATGTATGTGAGGAAGTAAATTGGAAACCCCAGGAAATAGAATCATTTTTATTGTATTAAGTGGAGATCACAGATTTCTATGTATAGTGTACCCTAAAATATATCCCTTTACATATGAGTGAACAATACTTTGTAGAAAAATTTCTAATTTTTAAAGTCTCCTTTCATTTTGTATGCATTTCCATTTTCACTGTATTTGGGATATCATGGAGATGCTACAATACTTTGAGGAATCAATCTTCCTAGACTTAAGAGATGATGTCATATACTTTGTACTTACAAAGAAGGCTAAGGTTCAAAGAATAAGAATCCCGAGCCACGTGATGTTTGCATCTTAAGATAAAATTTTGCACCTTGTATTGTATCACTGTTTGAGTCTATAATAACACGATGTTGAGTAGGACTTAGTCTCTTGAGCCACCTTTTTAAAATTTTGTTAATGGAAGACCTTAGCTTTTACAAGCTGATCACTTAAATTGTTTAGTGTCCATACCTTCAGATATTTTACTCATGATGAGGTAGTCAGTAAGTGTACATGGAGTCTGTATGTAACTCCAGTGCAAAACCATTTCTACATGCCTACAAATCTTTAAAGGTTTTTAAATGCAAAATTCAGTTTTTAAATTCATTTGCTTATACATCAACAACAGATACCAGCAAAGGTCTACTTTTGGAACAAGCTTTCTAGTCTTTAAGAACTGCAGTCAACTGGTCAAACAGCATTCCGTTATGGTCTGATGATGCAACTCTGGGCATTTGACATGGAAGTGTCCTAGGACTGATTTCCACAAGTAGGACTATTGTGGACCTTTTTTATTCCATTAATTGGGGTCTTTTGCATCTATTGAATTGGAAAGAATTCCTACTTCATATCTTTTGATGGAATACTGTGAGACATTAACATAAAATGTCACCAATAGATCTGGTGCAGTGACTCATACCTATGATCCTGGCACTTGGGGAGGCTGAGGCAGTTTAACTGCTTGAGTCCAGGAGTTTGAGACCAGCCTGGGCAACATGACAAAACCTCATCTCTACAAAAGATACAAAAATTAGCTGGGTATGGTGGCATGTGTCTGTATTCCCAGCACTTGGGAGGCTGGCATGAGAGGTTTACCTGAGCCAGGGAAAGTTAAGGCTGCAGTGAGCCGTGATTGTGCCACCGTTCTCCAGCTTGGGTGACACAGTGAGACCCTTTATTGTTGAAATTGCTATTTAGAAATTGAACTGAAATTGCAAACTCTTATTCTTTCTCTTCCCTGCTTCAATACCTTCTTCCCCAACCCCCATGCCCCCTAGAATTTTCCCACATAATGGGCTCCAAAGGGAAAAGGCCCCAAAAGGAACCTGACAATTGTCATCCAAGAGCTCTGGGCCATGTCTTCTAGAGAAGAGCTACAGTTATAGAATTCCTTTTTTTATTTTTTTCAGATTAAACCTCAGCAAACTTTTTAGAAAGCTGCAGAAATGAATTGAACTAATTGCACCCTGGGGTTGGGATTAGGAGAGGCCCACCACAGTGGTCCTCACCTACACTGTTTTAATTTAGGAGGATAAATAGAAGAGTTGCCTTGCCTTGTGGAGGCAATCATGCTGAAGTGGCAATGTAATTGTTACATTATTCTGCAGTTTTCTCAGATAAATTAAAATGTAGAGGTGTGAGAGTGGATGAAGAAATAAGGATTCTGTCCTAACATGGCTTCTCCCCAGTGTGGTGTTTGATCCTAGGAGAGGGTCATCAAGCTCTGCTTTAGAGGCTTTTGGCCCTTGGCCCTGGGAATGCTTATGCCTAGGCATTGAGCCAAACTGAGGAAAACTGCAAGAGGGAAAAACAAGTATTGTTCTCTACATGCATCAGTAGGTATGTTAAATATTAGGTGCCTTTCTTTTGCTGTAAATGAAGTTTTGAACTGAAATGTAGACTTCTGCTGAGATGTATTGACTTGTAGATGTATTTAAATATCCCTCTTGTTTCCTGGAGTGATTTTAGAGGATCATGTAATTCTTAACGACATTGCAATACACTTCTCCAGTTAGCTCCTCAAAAGCATTATTTCGTGTGTGTGTTTGTGACCTGCTGTACTTATGAATACATATATCTGTGTATCTGTGTATGTGTAAAGGGCTTTGTGTGTGGACGGTGGTCCCTGAAGACTACTTTCGTGTTTCAATGAAAGAGTTCTTTTTTTTTTTTTTTTTTTTTTTAAATATGAGTAGAGAATCTGTTTGGCCCAAGTTTGAGGACTGCAACCCAGGAGTACAGATTCAAGTTAGTTGCCCTGAGTATATGCTAGTATTAGCAGCAGTTACAAATGGGTTTTTAAAGGAAAAAAGAAGAGGCAGTTCCTAAGTTGTTTATCAAGCATTTTTGTTACAATAGCAAGCTATTAGTTGGCTACACATTGCTCTTTGTATCACAGATTCCAGGAACATGAAGATAGTGGGTGAGGCAGCTGTCAGGAACAAAATACTTTAAAAGATTTGCCCCCGGGAATGGGTGCAGTGAGATGTGACTGATGTCCCATGCTCCTGTCTCTCTGGGCCTGATAAATTTTGCATAGTTTGCATTTCTCAGACTACTCTGAGCAATTTTTCTTTCTCATTTCCTCCTTTTGATAAAATCTTTCTCTTCTGAAAATACTGAGGATCAACATTTTAGATGTAAGTTTGTCCCATGTTGCAGGGAAGGCTCATTCCGGATAATCTTGTCCCATGTCAGAGGGAATGAGCAGAAGTACTATAACTTAAGAACTTTGTGAGGTTCCAGGGCCAAATGGGTTGGCAACAATTCAGGGATTGGATTGAACAAGAAAGGGACAGAGGAGTGGGATCTCAGGCCATTCACTTACACTGGAGTTGACTCATGTTGGATCAGTTCTATATATCTAGCTATTTTGATTAGTTTTTTGTTATAGAATTTTGTGGTAGACTGTAGACATCTAGAAATACAAAGCATAATCAATTTAAGAATAAAAAGTATGACACAAATAAGGATAATTATCAACAAAACAACTTGAAATACAAATATGAGAAGTGTTCCTATTCCTGAAAGTAACCAAATGAATATTTTAATCCACTTGTTGTCCTGGTCTAAAGAACCAAGTGTTGAAGATCTCAACTGAGGAAGATGTCCACTCAGGCAGGGCAGCCTGATACTGTCTTTTCTAACGTGATTGGAAAGGGTCCTTTATTTCATGGCATTTTCCGTTAAACACAATCTACAGGTTAGAGGCCATGATCTTTGATATTTTTGTCTCCTGAGAGTTTGCTGTTAAAAGAATCCTTAATTAATTCAGAATTTTCAGTGAGAAACTTATAAGGCCTTGGCAATAATGAAGAATATCACCTTGTTAATGGGAAAACCAAACTCAGTAAAATATTTTAAAGAGGTTTATTCTGAGCCAAGATGAGTGACTGTGGTTCAGGGAAATATATTCTCAAGGAGTCCTGAGAACATGCACCTGAGGCAGTTGGATTGCCATTTTTTTTTTTTTTTTTTTTTTTGAGATGGAGTTTCACTCTTGTTACCCAGGCTGGAGTGCAGTGGCGTGATCTACGCTCACTGCAACCTCCGCCTCCTGGGTTCAGGCAATTCTCCTGCCTCAGCCTCCTTAGTAGCTGGGACTACAGGCACGTGCCACCATG